CCAAGTTGTCGATACTCCTTACACTTTGAGTACGATCAGTCAGGGGTCTGAAGCTGGGATGGCAGTCAGGGGAGAAAAGGTCAGCACCCCTATGACTGAGGAAGAGGAGGAAGACGAATACGAGAGGGAGGAAGAGGAAGAGGAGGAGAGGCTGGCTGCAGGAGAACTGCTGGAAGAGGAAGAGGAGGAGAGGCTGGGTACAGGAGAGCTGCTGGAAGAGGAAGAGGAGGAGAGGCAGGCTGCAGGAGAGCTGCTGGAAGAGGAAGAGGAGGAGAGGCTGGGTGCAGGAGAGCTGCTGGAAGAGGAAGAGGAGGAGAGGCTGGGTGCAGGAGAGCTGCTGGAAGAGGAAGAGGAGGAGAGGCAGGCTGCAGGAGAGCTGCTGGAAGAGGAAGAGGAGGAGAGGCTGGGTGCAGGAGAGCTGCTGGAAGAGGAAGAGGAGGAGAGGCTGGGTGCAGGAGAGCTGCTGGAAGAGGAAGAGGAGGAGAGGCAGGCTGCAGGAGAGCTGCTGGAAGAGGAAGAGGAGGAGAGGCTGGGTGCAGGAGAGCTGCTGGAAGAGGAAGAGGAGGAGAGGCTGGGTGCAGGAGAGCTGCTGGAAGAGGAAGAGGAGGACCGAGACTCCAGCAAAGCCTCTCCCACCACAGTGGTTATAGAAGTCCGCTCTGAGGAAGACGATGAAGAGGATGATGAGGAGGAGGAGGAGGAGGAGGAGGAGGAAGATGAGGAGGAGGAAGAGGAGGAGGAAGGTGAAGAGCAGGATGGTGTGTCGGAGGGCTCAGGGATCACAGACGACTCTGAGAACTGGGACATGACCCGGGGGAACCTGGGTCTGCTGGAGCAGGCCATCGCCCTGAAGGAGGTGAAGGGGGGGCAGGAGCCGGGCTCTCCAGACTACCAGCCCTACAGCGGCTCCAGCCACAGCCCCGAGGCCTCGGCCCTCCCCCGCCGCACCCCCCACTACAGCAAAGGTATTCTTACTGTCACTACTGTAGGGAGTATCTGTACGAGGTGTTAGAGCTTAATACTCAGTCAGAGTCCCAGGAGCCCTTTAGGAGCCGTTGCATCCAGCCAATCCAGTGGCTCCATCAAATGGCCCAGTGATGAAGGGCAAGCTTTCTGTCTTCAGATCGCTGGCTCCAAGTTCTTGTACAGTTTAATAATGGTATTCATTTCAAATTGGCATTTCTTACCAATATTTTGAAAATACAATGAACATAGCTCAGTAAAATAGGGTAAATAAAGATTTAAATATATTTTAGTGGATAAAACACATTTTTAATGATTAAACATTGTAAATTAACCACTTTAAAAGTTTGATGTGTCGGTTTTAATACCAATATTAGTGATTCTGGGCCTGGTAGTATTTCCTATTGGTCAGAACCCCTTGTATTCATTACTGTGTGCTTTCGTTCATGATCCATCTAAATCACACCATCCTCTATGCAGACAAGAAGGAGGTGAAGTGTCCGACCCCGGGGTGTGATGGGACAGGTCATGTGACCGGGCTGTACCCTCACCACCGCAGCCTGTCTGGGTGTCCTCACAAAGACCGGATCCCTCCAGAGAGTGAGTCCCCTTCCATCAGAGCCATCTGACTCTCATTCATATTCTGTCTCTCCTGCAGCGCTCTGATTAACATCCACCTGTTCTGTTTCTATTTCAACAGCTACCCAAGTGAAGGCTAATGCTGGCAGTAATGATACAAACTAAAGTAGCCAACATAACTCTTTTTTTACTTTTATAATCAGAGTTGGTGGAAGTACTCAGATCTTGTACTTGAGTAAAAGTAGAAGTACCAGAGAGTAGGAATACTCTGTTACAGTACAAGTCCTGCATTCAAATTGTTACTGAAGTAAAAGTAGAAAAGTATTAGCATCAAAATATAGTGAAAGTAGCGACAGTAAAAGTATTCATTGTGCAGATTGGTCCATTTCAGAATAATATATATGATATGTTTTATAATGATTGATCATTAAAGTGTTCTCAAAGCTGGTAAAGGTGCAGCTAGTTTGAATGACTTTGTATACTGCAGGGTAGCTTGTGGATTTACTCCAGGTGGAACTAAAGTCTGATTCAACACTTGATTATATTTCACATCATTCATCCACATCTGTAAAGTAACTAAAGGTATTAAATACATGTAGTGGAGTAGAAGTACAGAGTAGCATAACATAGAAATACTCAAGTAAAGTACAAGCATCTCAAAATGGTTGTTAAGTACAGTACTTGAGTAAATGTACCTGATTGCTTTACACCACTGTTTATTATTAAGTAACACATTAGAGTTATCAATACTGCCAGTATTAATATCAGTAGTTCTTGTAGTTGCTATACTATATAGAACACACTAATACTACTACCTTTATTACCACTTGTGTGTATGAGTACTGCTTGTGATGTGGAAGCTTGACTGACCTGATGTGTGTGTGTGTGTCTGTAGTCCTGGCCATGCATGAGAACATCCTCAAGTGTCCCACTCCGGGCTGCACAGGCCAGGGCCATGTCAACAGCAACCGCAACACACACCGCAGGTTAATAACACACACACACACACACACACACACACACACACACACACACACACACACACACACACACACACACACACACACACACCCACACACACGCACACACACACACACACATGAACATATGTAATACTGTATGTCTCTGTGTCTAACAAAGGGACTTGTGAACATGTATTTTGAGGATTCTTACATTTCCTATTTCAGAAGTGCATAATGTCATGTGAACATCAGCGTTCTATATAGCACGTGGCTTGGCAGAGTATATTACTGGTCTTGGAATAAAAAATACATACATTTGCACACAAACCTTTTAGTGAAGCCAATCTGATCTAATACTACTAACACATACTTACACTTGCTATACAAGTCTTATCAATATTTCAATCTCCTGTCTGACTAATCATATGAGTTTTCTTCTGTTAAATGGACATTTGGACATGTGTCCCCTGCAGTCTGTCAGGCTGTCCCATCGCAGCAGCCTCCAAGCTGAACAAAGGTCAGGACAAGCAGGTGGTGCTGCAGGCGGCGGGGGGGGGAGGCGCCGTGTAACTCCGACCGGGTGCTCAGGTGAGCCGGCAGGGCGGGGAGTAACTAAGTACATTGACTCAAGTACTCTTCTTAAGTACAATTAGGAGATACTTGTACTTTAGCTGAGTATTCTCAGTTTATGCTCATTTATACTTATACTCCACTACATCTCAGAAGCAAATATGGTACTTTTTACCCCACTACATTTATTTGACAGCTTTTAGTAACTAGTTATCTCTTAGGTTTAAAATATTGGCTAATAAACTTTGACATATATTAATAGTTTAAGATATCCAGCAGCAGTATATAAAGTTATTCAAATTAGCTCCACATTTACCAGCTGTGATTAAAACACATCAATATTCATAACAGTAACTCAATATATATACAATTCTGAAATGGGCCATTACACATAAGGAGTACTTTTACTTTTGATACTATATTTTGTTGCTGATGCTTTTGTACTTTTACTTAAGTTATATTCTGAATGCAGGACCTTTACAATGTAGTATTGATACTTTAAAGGTCCCATGTCATGCTTTTCCGGTTATTACCCGTCCCCTTGTGTTATGAAGGTTTTTCTGCATGTAAACGGTCTGCAGAGTCACAAACCCTCAAAGTGCACCCTGTAGGGAGTAAAACTCTAACACAGAAAAGACCTGTCTATGCTGCCCCAGAACGCCTCGTTGGACATTTTCTTTTTCCATTGTTTTCTTCTTATAGTGTAGTAAGTACAGTGACGTATTGGGTATAGTGACGTAACGTCTCGATGCGAGACGGCGAGACTTCCTCACACACACACACTCAATCTTTTCTCAGCTGCAGCTCCGCGGATTTCTCAGCCTGAACTCAGCCTGAACTCAGCCTGAACTCAGCCTGAACTCAGCCTGAACTCAGCCTGAACTCAGCCTGAGACGGCGAGATGCGGCGGGGCTCGGCCTGGGCTCGTTCTGAGCACACACGCAGACTCACAGCCAGGCTGCAGGTGTGTGTGTGTGCTCGGGCTGGGTTCAGGCTGGGTTTCGCTGTGTCTTGCTGTCTCGCAGATCCCCCGCAGCAAGCCAGCTCACACTGTCCGCTCCAGCAGCGAGCCCCGCAACGTCCCGCCAACACGGCACCCAGACCCCACGCAGCATTCTCATCTGTTTGTCATTACTGGTGTCATTTTCTGGTTGCTAACGCCATTGTAACACATAATCACTGATGTTCCGCTGTAACGGTGGTGGACTCATCAGAACAGAGTGGGCGAGCTGACCAATCAGAGCACACTGGGCTCACAGGGAGGGGGGGGCAGGAGCTCCAACAAGGCGTGTAGGACAGAGAGTGAATACACATACTATACAGAGATGCTGTATGAGAAACCAATGTGAGTTTGGAACATTGAACAATGTAAATCTATTCTAGTAGACCTCAACAATGGAATCATGATCAGTAGAAATGGCCATGACATGGGACCTTTAACTTTTCGTTGGTGATGCTCACATGTGACTGCGGTGCAGGGGAGGGGTCTAACGGTGCGTCTCCCCCCAGGCCCATGTGCTTCGTGAAGCAGCTGGAGATCCCTCAGTACGGCAGCTACGGGCCGGGCGCCGTGACGACCACCCCCCGCGCCAACCTGGCCAAGGAGCTGGAGAAGTACTCCAAGGTGTCCTTTGACTATGCAAGCTTTGATGTCCAGGTGTTTGGGAAACGTATGCTCATTCCAAAGACCCCCGGCAGCACTGAAACATCACCCAAAGCCTTCAAATGTAAGACCCGCCCACTCCCCCCCCATGCTCACCTACTATATGTGATTCTGACCTGTGTCATGTGATCAAATCCAAAATGAAGGGTAACTGGAGGAACAGGTTAGAGTTGCTCTCTGAGGATCATTCATTTTGTCACTTTTTCAAATCACATTTAAGTTCATCTCTATTAGAACCAAACACATACTGAATCGCTTTAGTCAATACCATTATTCATATTTGAGAATTAAATAATCTGATAATGATGTTCCTGCCTATTGTTTTGATTTGATACAATATTTTGATACTCAAAATGTTTAAATCAAGCTTTAGAAATGAATCAGCTGTGTGAGCAAATGAACAGATCAGACATTTAGCGTCTTTCCACCTCTTCTTCCGCTTGTTGTTTGAATCAGATCATGGCCTTGTTTGGATCACCGTCTCCGAGCGTAGAGTCCACAATCATAACCCAGATGAAAACACTTTCGCACAATGTCTAACTAAACATATGTGTATTGGACCTTAAACATTATAGAATGTCCGCAATACCTCGGAGAGAACAAATGAGTGATTATTTTAATTAGAAAGCAGGAATTGGCCATTTATGTGCATTCCTGGTACATTTATTGATGGAATTGTTTATTTAGCAGGGACAATGCTCAGTAATGAACACTTCAAACATTCAAATGTATCAAGCGTAACAGTGCCAGATTTAGCTTTGAGCTCGTTTCCATCCGCAGTCCCTCACATAAAACATTTAAGAAGATTACATTTACAAACATTGTAAAAACAAAATACATGATGTGCAAAAAGTGCAAAAGAGCAAGAGCAGCATACACAAGTATTTATGACATGGTAACACAATGTAGCAGCTACGACTTCTAAAGTGAGAGGATACAAGAGATACCTAAAGGGCAAGAGGAGATACCCCTGAGTTAAAGGAGAGGAGATACCCCTGTGTTAAAGGAGAGGAGATACCCCTGTGTTAAAGGAGAGGAGATACCCCTGAGTTAAAGGAGAGGAGATACCCCTGAGTTAAAGGAGAGGAGATACCCCTGTGTTAAAGGAGAGGAGATACCCCTGTGTTAAAGGAGAGGAGATACCCCTGAGTTAAAGGAGAGGAGATACCCCTGAGTTAAAGGAGAGGAGATACCCCTGTGTTAAAGGAGAGGAGATACCCCTGAGTTAAAGGAGAGGAGATACCCCTGAGTTAAAGGAGAGGAGATACCCCTGAGTTAAAGGAGAGGAGATACCCCTGTGTTAAAGGAGAGGAGATACCCCTGTGTTAAAGGGCAAGAGGAGATACCCCTGTGTTAAAGGAGAGGAGATACCCCTGTGTTAAAGGGCAAGAGGAGATACCCCTGTGTTAAAGGAGAGGAGATACCCCTGTGTTAAAGGAGAGGAGATACCCCTGTGTTAAAGGAGAGGAGATACCCCTGTGTTAAAGGAGAGGAGATACCCCTGAGTTAAAGGGCAAGAGGAGATACCCTGTGTTAAAGGAGAGGAGATACCCCTGTGTTAAAGGGCAAGAGGAGATACCCCTGTGTTAAACTAGAGGAGATACCCCTGTGTTAAACTAGAGGAGATACCCCTGAGTTAAACTAGAGGAGATACCCCTGTGTTAAACTAGAGGAGATACCCCTGTGTTAAAGGAGAGGAGATACCCCTGAGTTAAACTAGAGGAGATACCCCTGAGTTAAACTAGAGGAGATACCCCTGAGTTAAACTAGAGGAGATACCCCTGAGTTAAAGGAGAGGAGATACCCCTGAGTTAAACTAGAGGAGATACCCCTGTGTTAAAGGAGAGGAGATACCCCTGTGTTAAAGGAGAGGAGACCCCTGAGTTAAAAGAGGAGATACCCCTGAGTTAAAAGAGGAGATACCCCTGAGTTAAAGGAGAGGAGATACCCCTGAGTTAAAGGAGAGGAGATACCCCTGAGTTAAAGGAGAGGAGATACCCCTGAGTTAAAGGAGAGGAGATACCCCTGTGTTAAAGGAGAGGAGATACCCCTGTGTTAAAGGGCAAGAGGAGATACCCCTGAGTTAAAGGAGAGGAGATACCCCTGTGTTAAAGGAGAGGAGATACCCCTGAGTTAAAGAAGAGGAGATACCCCTGTGTTAAAGGAGAGGAGATACCCCTGAGTTAAAGGAGAGGAGATACCCCTGTGTTAAAGGGCAAGAGGAGATACCCCTGTGTTAAAGGAGAGGAGATACCCCTGTGTTAAAGGAGAGGAGATACCCCTGTTAAAGGAGAGGAGATACCCCTGTGTTAAAGGAGAGGAGATACCCCTGTGTTAAAGGAGAGGAGATACCCCTGTGTTAAAGGAGAGGAGATACCCCTGTGTTAAAGGAGAGGAGATACCCCTGAGTTAAAGGAGAGGAGATACCCCTGTGTTAAAGGAGAGGAGATACCCCTGAGTTAAAGGAGAGGAGATACCCCTGAGTTAAAGGAGAGGAGATACCCCTGTGTTAAAGGAGAGGAGATACCCCTGAGTTAAAGGGCAAGAGGAGATACCCCTGTGTTAAAGGAGAGGAGATACCCCTGTGTTAAAGGAGAGGAGATACCCCTGAGTTAAAGGGCAAGAGGAGATACCCCTGTGTTAAGGAGAGGAGATACCCCTGAGTTAAAGGAGAGGAGATACCCCTGAGTTAAAGGAGAGGAGATACCCCTGTGTTAAAGGAGAGGAGATACCCCTGTGTTAAAGGAGAGGAGATACCCCTGAGTTAAAGGAGAGGAGATACCCCTGAGTTAAAGGGCAAGAGGAGATACCCCTGTGTTAAAGGAGAGGAGATACCCCTGTGTAAAGGAGAGGAGATACCCCTGTGTTAAAGGAGAGGAGATACCCCTGTGTTAAAGGAGAGGAGATACCCCTGTTAAAGGAGAGGAGATACCCCTGTGTTAAAGGAGAGGAGATACCCCTGTGTTAAAGGAGAGGAGATACCCCTGTGTTAAAGGCAGAGGAGATACCCCTGTGTTAAAGGAGAGGAGATACCCCTGTGTTAAAGGAGAGGAGATACCCCTGTGTTAAAGGGCAAGAGGAGATACCCCTGTGTTAAAGGAGAGGAGATACCCCTGTGTTAAAGGAGAGGAGATACCCCTGTGTTAAAGGAGAGGAGATACCCCTGTGTTAAAGGAGAGGAGATACCCCTGTTAAAGGAGAGAGATACCCCTGTGTTAAAGAAAGGAGATACCCCTGTGTTAAAGGAGAGGAGATACCCCTGTGTTAAAGGAGAGGAGATACCCCTGAGTTAAAGGGCAAGAGGAGATACCCCTGTGTTAAAGGAGAGGAGATACCCCTGTGTTAAAGGAGAGGAGATACCCCTGTGTTAAAGGAGAGGAGATACCCCTGTGTTAAAGGGCAAGAGGAGATACCCCTGAGTTAAAGGAGAGGAGATACCCCTGAGTTAAAGGAGAGGAGATACCCCTGAGTTAAAGGAGAGGAGATACCCCTGAGTTAAAGGAGAGGAGATACCCCTGAGTTAAAGGAGAGGAGATACCCCTGTTAAAGGAGAGGAGATACCCCTGTGTTAAAGGAGAGGAGATACCCCTGTGTTAAAGGAGAGGAGATACCCCTGAGTAAAGGAGAGGAGATACCCCTGAGTTAAAGGAGAGGAGATACCCCTGAGTTAAAGGGAGAGGAGATCCCCTGTGTTAAAGAGGAGATACCCCTGGAGGGCAAGAGAGATACCCTGTGTAAAGGAGAGGAATACCCCTGGAGTTAAAAGGAGAGGAGATACCCCTGGTTTAAAGGAGAGGAGATACCCCTGTGTTAAAGGCAAGAGGAGATACCCCTGGTTAAAGGAGAGGAGATACCCCTGTGTTAAAGGAGAGGAAGATACCCCTGTGTTAAAGGGAGAGGAGATACCCCTGGTTTAAAGGCAAGAGGAGATACCCCTGTGTTAAAGGAGAGGAGATACCCCTGAGTTAAAGAAGAGGAGATACCCCTGAGTTAAAGGAGAGGAGATACCCCTGTGTTAAAGGAGAGGAGATACCCCTGTGTTAAAGGAAGAGGAGATACCCCTGTGTTAAAGGAGAGGAGATACCCCTGTGTTAAAGGGCAAGAGGAGATACCCTGGTTTAAAGGGAGAGGAGATACCCCTGTGTTAAAGAGAGGAGATACCCCTGTGTTAAGGAGAGGAGATACCCCTGTGTTAAAGGGCAAGAGGAGATACCCCTGTGTTAAAGGAGAGGAGATACCCCTGTGTTAAAGGAGAGGAGATACCCCTGTGTTAAAGGGCAAGAGGAGATACCCCTGTGTTAAAGGGCAAGAGGAGATACCCTGAGTTAAAGGAGAGGAGATACCCCTGAGTTAAAGGGCAAGAGGAGATACCCCTGTGTTAAAGGGCAAGAGGAGATACCCCTGTGTTAAAGGAGAGGAGATACCCCTGAGTTAAAGGGCAAGAGGAGATACCCCTGTGTTAAAGGAGAGGAGATACCCCTGAGTTAAAGGCAAGAGGAGATACCCTGTGTTAAAGGAGAGGAGATACCCCTGTGTTAAAGGAGAGGAGATACCCCTGAGTTAAAGGAGAGGAGATACCCCTGAGTTAAAGGGCAAGAGGAGATACCCCTGAGTTAAAGGGCAAGAGGAGATACCCTGAGTTAAAGGAGAGGAGATACCCCTGAGTTAAAGGAGAGGAGATACCCCTGTGTTAAAGGAGAGGAGATACCCCTGTGTTAAAGGAGAGGAGATACCCCTGTGTTAAAGGAGAGGAGATACCCCTGTGTTAAAGGAGAGGAGATACCCCTGAGTTAAAGGAGAGGAGATACCCCTGAGTTAAAGGAGAGGAGATACCCCTTGTTAAAGGAGGGAGATTCCGCTGTGTTAAAGGAGAGGAGATACCCCTGTGTTAAAGGAGAGGAGATACCCCTGTGTTAAAGGAGAGGAGATACCCACTGTGTTAAAGGAGAGGAGATACCCTGTTTTGTTAAAGGGCAAGAGGAGATACCCCTGTGTTAAAGGGAGAATACCCCTGAGTTAAAAGGCAAGAGGAGATACCCCTGTGTTAAAGGAGAGGAGATACCC